AACACAGAATAAGGCCTTTGTTTGGAGAAGGATTTGAGCAGCAGACACTTTGGAAAGCAGGTCCCTAACAGCAATGGTAGATACAGGGACAGAGGGCAGGTCTTAGCTTTCTAATTAGAGCAACTCATCTGGGAAGAAAAGACTTCCAACTCTGCAGGAGGCTTATGCACACATCCTCTGCTTCTCATTAGATCGTGGAACAGATCCTCCAGGAAGATATGTCAAAATATATGAAAGGCAGGGAGGTGACCAGACAGCTAACATGGCTTCACCAAGGACAAATCATGCCTGACTAACACAGTGGCCTTCTGCAATGGCGTGACTGAAACACTGGACAAGGGAACAGCTACACCTCTTCTACCTAGCCTTCTGCAACACCTATGATTCTTACCTCTAAACTGGAGACATGGATTTGATGGATTGATTAGTAGATGGATAAGGAATTGGCTGGATGGACACATCTAAAAAGTTACAGTCAATGGATCGATATCCAAGTGGAAACCAGTAACGAGTTGTTTCTCTCAAGGGTCTGTATTGGGACTAATATTATTTAATTTCTTCCAGAAGAACATAGATAGTGGCATTAAGTGCACCTTCAGCAAGTTTGTGGCCAACACCACGCTGAATGGTGCAGATGACATGCTGGAGGGACGAGGTGCCATCCAGACAGACCTTGACAGGTTGGATGAGTGGGCCCATGTGAAGAAGTTCAACAAGACCAAGTGCAAGGTCCTGCATCTGGGTCAGACCAATCCGCAGTATCAATACAGGGTGGGGAATGAAAGGATTGAGAGCAGCCCTGCGGAGAAGGACTTAGGAATATTGGTGGATGAAAAGTTGGGCATGAGCCAGCAATATCCCAGGAAGCAATGTCCCATGAGCCCAGAAAGGTGATTGTACCCAGCTTGCATCACAAGAATTGTGGCCAGCAGGTTGAGAGGGGCTATACTTTCCCTCTACTCCACTCTTGTGGGACCCCATCTGGAGTCTGACCACCCCACCCACTCCCCTCCAGCTTTGGCATCCCTAGCACAAGAAAGACATGGACCTATTAGAGTGGGTCCAGAGGAGAGCCACAGAAATTAGCAGAGGGCTGGAGCACCTCTCCTATGAAAAAGGCTGAGAGAGTTGTGGTTGTTCAGCCTGGAGAAGAAAAGGCTCCTGGGAGAACTTATTGTGGTCTTTCAATATGTAAAGAGGGCTTATAAGAAAGATAGAGACTTCTTACCAGGGCCTGTAGTGACTGGCCAAGAGACAAAGATATTAACCTCAAATAGAGTAGATTTGGATTAGATATAAAGAAGAAATTATTTACGATGACATTTGTGAGACACTGGAACAGGTTGCCCAGAGAAGCTGTGGCTGCCCCATCCTTGGAAGTGTTCAAGGCCAGGCTGGACAGGACTTAACTTGATCTAGTGGAAGGGGTCCCTGCCCATGGGCTAGATGATCTTTGAAGGTCCCTTCCAACCCAAACTCGTCTATGATTTATTACTCTATGCTAAGGACTAAATTCTTGTTGCTTACACTGCAGCTGTTTTTTTTACCACTCCAGACAAAGCAGGGGCACTGGGATACCTCTTTGGGGTTTTTCTGTCATAATTCCATGTAGGCATTTAATTCAGTATGCCTGAAGTGGAAAATATCCATATATTTTCAGTAGCACTGGGACTAAGTATCCAATTGCAAAAATAATCACCTACACACAGTGTATTTAATATTTGATTATAGGGTCAAGTGTTTTATTCCCTTCGTGGTTTCTTTGTTCCTAACAGCCATCTACACCTGATACGGACAAAAGCCCCCATTTTAGCCTGATAGTAAGAACATTTCTTTGGGAAGTGAAAACTGTGACTTCAAACTTTTAAGCTCAGGATATCTTAGAGTTCATATCTCTTAACTTCTAGGCTTTGGTTGCTTATTCAGTCCTTGATGAGCAAGTAAAGTAAATGACTGTGGAGCCTGATTTTTGCACTGAATGAATCAGGAATGGTATGACCAGGGCAACTGGATGAGTTCTCTCATGGGAGTGCAGCAGAGTTTAGGTACGTGCACAGACTACGTACACAGCAGCAATCCAGAGCCTAGATAACAGTTACTTCTGATCATACAGTCATAGATGGCTATAAGACCATCTGACTGAAAACAAATGTTCTGATTATTTTAGGTTCCTTGCTGGGTTTAGATGGTCTCTCAACATAGGTGGTCTGATTTGGGCATTGAGACATAAATACTGACAGGCTGCTGAAGTTGGTAACAATAACATACAACCAACCTCTGGATTTTAAGGACTAGGCCTCTAGGATTTGTAATTTATCCCCATTTTTCTTGTAGTTTATTTTTCTTCTAATTTATCACCATATTTTCTTTGGTTAGAATTTTCAAGAAAAGTAATTTAATTCAATTATAAATAAGGAAGAAAAAGAAAAAGCTTAGCAAAAGAACTTAATTTTAAAATGTTTTCCAGATAGAATAGTAATTTCTGATTGGACTATTAACAAAAATGTCTTAACAATTACATGCATTTTTTGATACTTATTTGGTTTCAGCCAAGCCTGATATCACTGAAGTGAGCATGTTTTTGTTTTCACTTTTCAAAGTTCTAAGAAATTAAGTAATCATTCCAGTCTGCTCAGTCATTGTTTAACATTGTTTTCATCCAAATAAATCATGCATCTGGAATGAAACATACATTTTATACAGTTGGTAACTGAAAAAAATTTCACTTGTGTAATTTGGCTTTAGTTCTAGTAATTGACTCTGAAGAGCTGATCCTATTCCCATGAGGTTAATTGCTGACACTCATTAACTTCAGCATAAATAATTTTCTTTCCAAAGTGCCACTTAAAGCAGGAAATCAGTAGTTCAAAATTAATATCCTATGTAGAAAGTCACTGACAAATCAGCAGAGATGTTTCTACTGAATTTATATAAAATGTTCAATACATTAAATTTAAATTCTGTTGCTTAGTATTAAGCTTGATGAGTTACTGTAAGAAAAAGTTATGTTTCAACAAAATTATTTCTTACCTTAATGTAAACTTTTATAGATAATTAAAAATTAACCTGGAATATTTTACTTGAAAACTGTTCAAATGATAACAGAAACTTGATTAAACTTTATAACATACAATTAGAAGTGTATATACAGTAAGATGACTCACTTGTAAAGACAAGTGCAAAGTCCTGCACCTGGGACATCATAACCAACAAGCTCAGTACCTGAGTGATGGTGGAGCAGCCTTGCTGAGAGGGACCTGGGGGTCTTGGTCTATAAGGTGAACATGGTCAACAGTGTGCTTCCGTAGCAGAGAGGGCAGACTGGAACCGGGGCTGCATCCACAGGGGCATTACTAGCAGAGATAGAGACGTGCTCACGCCACTCTACTCTGTGCTTGTCGGGCCTCACCTGGAGTACTGTACCCAGTTCTGGTCCCAACAATTCAAGAAAGATATGGACAAACTGGAGAGGGTCTGAAAGAGGACCACAGAGATGATCAAAGGGCAAGAACCTATCCTACGAGGAAAGACTGAAGGGGCCAGGTCTTTTCTCCCTGGAGAAGAAAAGGTTCAGGTGGAACTCATCACAGTATTCCAGTATTTAAAGGGCAGGTACACAGAGGATCTCTCTTTATAAGGAGCCACATGGAAAAGACGAGGGGTAACAGGTACAAGTGTGGTAGGTTGACCTTGGCTGGAGACCTGGTACCCGCCAAGTTACTCTATTGCTCCCCTCCTCACCTAGACAGGGGAGAGAGAATATGATGAAAATCTTGTGGGTCAAGATAAGGAGAGTGAGAGGTCATTCAGCAATTACCATCATGGGCAAAATACGCTCAGCTTGGGATCCAATCAGAGTAAAAGAGAAATAAACTCAAACCTTAAAATCCTTCCTTTTCTCCTCCTTTCATCCCAGGCTTGACTTCACTCCCACTTTTCTCTGTGTCATTCCCCCAGTCAACACAGGGTGATGGGGAATTGGGATACAGATAAATCTCTGCCATTCAGAGGGAGGACTTCTCACACTCTCCCTTGCTCTAGTGTGGAGTCCCTCCCATGGGAGATATGAACTTACCCAACGTGAGTCCTTTCTGCAGGGTGCAGTCCTTCAGGTGCAGCCTGCCCCAGCCTGGGCTCCTCTCTCCATGGGGCCACAGCTCCTGCCAGAAACCTGCTCCAGTATGGGCTGCCCATTGGGTCACAGACTCCTTTGGGTATCCCCCTGCTCCAGTGTGGGGGTCTCCCCAGGCTGCAGGTGAGTCTCTGCCCCACTGTGACCCTCCATGGCTGCAGGGCACAGCCGGATTCACCATGGGCTGCTGGGGAATCACTGCTCCAGCACCTGGAGCACCACCTCCTCCTCCTTCTCCACTGACCTGGGTGTCTGCAGAGCTGATTCTCTCACACATTCTCACTCCACTCTCATGCTGCAGCTGCTGATGTGCAGCAACTTTCTCCCCTTCTTAAACAAGTTATCCCAGAGGTGTTACCACCTTCCCTGATGGGCTCAGCCTTGGCCAGCAGTGGGTCCGTCTTGGAGCCAGCTGGCATTGACTCTATCAGACCTAGGGGAAGCGTCTAGCAGCTTTTCACAGAAGCTATCCCTGTGCCCCCCCCTCCCCCATCAAAACCTTGTCATACAAACCCAATGCAACAAGTTGCACCAGGAAATAATAAAGAAATTCTTTACAGTGAGAAAAATTAATCACTGAATCTACTTTCCCAGTGATGTGGTGGAGTCTGCATCACTGCAGATTTTAAAGATGTGATAAGAAAGGATGCTAAATAATCTCATCTAGGCTCCCTTTCCCATGAAATGTTGGACCAGATGATCTTTTGAGGTTCTTTGCAAACTGGGATGTTCTGTGATTCTATAATTGTCTGCTACAAGACTTTCACACGAAAAGCAGTGAAAAAGTTGGATTGACATGACAAACTTCAAAATGAATGATTTTCTGTTTGGGGGCGGTCTAATTATTAACTTATTTATTTTTCCTCAGATCCATTGGCCTAGTACACCTCTACAGGCAGAAGAATGCCTAATTAAAGGAAGAGATGCTGTAAGTATCATTAATTACAAATCTAATATACTTTAATTATACAAGTGGATGGTCCAAAACAAAGATTCAGGCATTCCTATACATGAGAGATCATAGCACAGACATAATTCTAAGTGTTGCAGATTAAAAACATGTAACTACTCTGAACACACTAAATTATTAGTTTAATTGCTTTTCACAGCAGCTCAAAACAGGCAATAAAGAGTTTGGATCATCTGAACTTTCTCTTAATTCTTTTTCTGATGATCTCAAAGAACGTACTTTAATAATCTTCTTTTCCCATTTCTATTTCCCTTTCTTATCATACAGATAGGATACCTTTTCCATTCAAATTTTTTTGCATTTTAATCTTTAAAATTCACATTCTCCAGAATGCTTTCAAAATGGCAGTTAAATTATAAGTAATTCTGAAATATATTCTAAAATATTTTTCCCTATAGGTTTTATGGTTTATTAATAAAAATATTCTGTTTTAATGAGCCCCCAGACTGTTCTGTTGTTGTGACCCAGTGTTTTGACTCTAATCAGGTCCCGGGGAAAGACCTGAAAGCTCACTGACACACAGCAGCTGATCGCATTGGCACCACAGGATGAAAGTTCTTCTAGATGGGAGCTCTCTTTTAATTTTGCAGTGCACCAAGCTCATTATCTACACCTCACAAACACACAGCCACTATAACACCTAATAAATCTCATGGCTGAGAGAGCTCATACTGTACCAAAGGATTAGAAAATGATGATAGTTTTACAGCAACAGTGACAGGAACGTAGGACTCAGAAGGGCGCATGCACAGTTTTCCCACACAGTTGCAGCAAACAGGCAGCCTTGATGATAACCACAACATATTCCCAGTGAAGATTAGGAAGCTATAAAGATTCCTGTTAAAGTATAAGCATGAGAACTTTCCACAACGAGAGAGTTGATGAACCAGATTGGAAAATATTAATAATAATAGACCATCATGACACTCACCTGGCCTGGAACTGATCCACTTTGAGGTATCTTAAAAATTCATTGCATTTTTCTGGATGCTTTTGTACACTGGAGAATTTTAGGTGGCTTGGGTTGAAAATGGTGTTTTTCTACATTATCCAAACTTTGTGGTCATATTAAATGAATCCAAAAGCTAAATTCTGTGAGCTTTATTTAATAGTACCTCTCAGTATAGGCTGTTATTACAGTTAAAGCTCTGTCATCTTCCCTTTACCACTACATGAAGGGATTTATTTACTGCTACTTTGACAATATTCTTTGGGTTAAGTACAGAAATATGTATTGTTGTTCCAATGTAATGTAAAGGTACCCCCTCAGACTCAGGAAATTTTCTAAAAATCAAAATCTTTTATAATAGAGTGTGTTGCAAATGTGCATTGTAATAAATGTGATCATTTAAAGAACTTCATATGTTTCCCACATCTCTCTGTACTGTGAAAGTTAGGTGTCTTAATTTTTTAAAAGAAAATCACAGAAATTTTAACTAATCACAAGACTCCAGAAGTGGAGTCTTTAAGAAAAACATGTTGAAATTGTAAAAGCTGGACATACTGTAATCACGAACAATACCAAACTGTATTCTGATCCTCACATGAGACCTAATTATGTGTGGGACTATGTGAATGAATGACCAATTAATTCCAGGGAAACTTTAGTAATTTTCATTAGCATGCTCAGTATTCACTAAGTTAAATTGCTCAACTTGAAAGGAATCTAAATTAGAATCAAAAGTTTTCCTATGATTTTTCTTTTCACCTCCATTTTTGTAGCCATAAACCAATATTTGCTTAATGGCAGTATGTCTTAAAGTCAACTCTTCGCTGGTTCTAAGTTCTGAATGCTGTTTTTCACACTGTAAAGTCTCAGAAAAAAATGACTCATCAGTGCTCTTTCAAACTTTTTTGCTTATTTCAATGCTGCTTCTTTATTTTCTTTTACAAAAGTTCTGAAACTTGGAGGATAACAAACATAATTAATAGAACTGAAAATGTTGCGATAGGCATCTCAGTGTTGAGGTAATTAATGTGTTCCCTGCTACCTCTGTCTATATAACAGAACAGGCCTCTTTTACAAGCTCTTACAAACTTTAAAAACTATCAGTTCATCTTGTAGGAGTAAAATTGCAAGTACTGTACTCATAAACAGTTTCAGAGAGCTTGTGACGGCCTTAATAGGACAGCTAGAAAAGCCTTGTCTTAACAATATGTGCATCATTTTAAATTCAGGCCACACTTCTCTGATGTGGATCAAGTGAAGGAAAAAATCCTTCTGCTCTCATCCAGTGTGCCAGGGAAAACACCTGTTGGCTTGTGGATTAAGAGCTTTTGATCCTTTCACTTATTTTATCAGTACTGCAAATCATTCAGATATAGAAATCAAATTCCGTAGTGATGACTAACTGAGAAGTTTCAGATGGATAAAATTCCACAGACCTATTAATATGTCTACAGAGCTTCCTAAAGAAAATCACATCATTTAATTAATTAATATAGTAGGAAGAAAACTTATTTTAATGTTCACTTGGATGATGCATCTCTTCCTTTTTATGTGTACAGGATATTATTAGTAGGGTCAGCAGTAATGCCTCGTTAGTTGTCTGAAACTTCCCAGAATAGCACCTTTTTCATTTGTTTATAAATGATAGATCTATCCATTTAGAGTGACTTTTTTCTATATTTGGCATCTGCCTCATCCTGTTTTTTCTGGAGAAAATTTTAGGCATTTTTATGAAGGCACACATGAGAAAAATGTGTAATCTTTTGCCCATTAAAAAAAATCCCAAGATCTCTCTTCCTCCACGTTGCTGTTGAGACTAAGATCAAGAGCTGCAGGCATATGTGGATATAAAAGGAAAACATGGAGTAAAGACCAGACCACCACTGAGAGAGAACAGAGGGGATAAGTCAGGAAGGTCAGACTTGGAGGGGAGGAAGAATGAGGAGCAGCATCAGTGCCCATCTATTTGAAAACAGCAGAGCACCATGAAATTCCTGTGTGTTACCATTCTGCTACCACCAGTTAGCAAACGTTCGTGAAATGCAAAGTGGTCACCTCTGAGCGCTGATCCATGTATAGGGATTCACATCCTACTACTCTCAACTAATTTTTCTCTCAATTTTTCTGACAATTTAAGTAGCAGGTTTTTTAGTGGGTCTAAAAAACTTTGTCCGCGTGAGGGATCATGTGGATACCATGTGAAGAAAGACCCTTATTTTTTTTTTTAGTTTCCTTTTTAAAAAAGTAATAAATGAATTAAAAATCCAAAAGTAAGATATTACAAAGTTGATTTGCCCTTTGCATATAAATATTTAACTACACAACAGGTTACCCGCTTCTGTAGGTCACCCTCTTCTTTCAGTTAGCATGATATATCTTCAAGGTGAATGGTTAAGGAGAATCATGTAGCAAAGGAGATTTACACTGCATGACACAAGATTTTGAAGAAAGAAGGTGGTTTCTTAGTTTTGAACTCATTGTGGGTTTGCAACAGCTGAATTCTGCCCATGGCCCTGCCACAGACTCATTCTCCACGACATTAAGTTCTTGCAAATGTTCTCATATAAATATAGCAGTCTGAAAACTAGAGTAATCGGCAGCGGACAGCAATTTTTCAAAAAGGAAATTCCTCCACTCTGTTTTACACATTTATTTTAGGACAGAATTAATTGCCTTTAGGAGATGTCTGGCCTTCTTCGTTGACTATTGAAAAAGCCTTGGAGAATATCATAAATTGCATGCCTAAACTTTAGAATAACTGAAGTCAGCTAAGATTAATCCCATTATAATTGTCTCTTTAAACTTAATGTGACTGCTTTAAAACCCAGGGTCTGAGTTGAATAAATGTTGAGCAATGAATGTAAATGAATAAAAATTTTGCTCCAAACCTAGAAATTATTGCAAAATGTTAAATACTCTGTAAGACTGAGTCCCAGGAGTCCAAAATCAATGCATACTTTTATCTCACTGTCTCCATTTCTAATTTAGCACAGAGAGGATAATGACCCCACATCTCAAAGGCATGTTTGAAAATTTTTTAATTGTAATATTTATGAAACTGCAAATACACTAATGAGCCCCAGAATATTGCCTTGGGGAAAATTAATAATTTCTTCTTCAAAGGAGGATTTCAACAGTGGGAACAGATAAAGCATGAGACTATAGAATATAAAAACATATTGATTAACAATTAATTACACAAGAAATTACTGGTGCAGTGGTCTTATGGTAAAAAACATAAGAATTAAGTGTTATCTTAAGATAAAGTTTATTTAACTTGAGAGGGAACTCATTTGCTGACTATTCACATCTCATGCATTGAGTCTAATATCTAGTGCATCAAAAATATTTAGTAAAACAAACATTTAGATTTGCAGAATATATCTGAGACTAAGGAAACACAAGTGTGTTTTATAACATAGCAACTTTTAACTACTTAAGCACTTAAAATCAGTTGTAATAAACCAGTGCTCTAAATTTGCTTTTTTTATATCGAAAGTATCAATCCATGATTTTGGTGGCACTGAGGTACTAGCATGAAGTAGGAGAAATAAGATGTTATATTTAACAGTATAGAAAGTTTTGATATGCCAAATATCACCTAAGGGTACCTGATGTATTTTGTAAAAGTCTTCAAAACTGCTAATATTTCCCTATGTTAATTTTTTATGTAAACTAGGATGAATGTGCAAATTACATCCGTGTCCTTCACCGATACAATAGAACACATCTTCTGGCTTGTGGAACAGGAGCTTTTGATCCGCTCTGTACTTTTGTTAGAGCTGGACATCCATCAGAGGTAAGAAATCTGTTTTACAGTAGTGACTCTTTTGGTCTGGATTCCTGCAAAGCCCCTATGGTTAAAAACAAATATTTAAATCTGAGTGCTCAGGGTTCTCATACAAATCATGTAAGATATTTTCACTGATGAAATGTAATGCTGGTCTACAATTCAGTTTGTGACTAGATGAACTCACTCATGATTGAAAGTATATTTTGAAGAATTATGCAAAGAACTCAAAGTAATTTTCATCTTAGAATTTCATTACTAGATAAGCTCATAGAGCAATTATTTCCAAAAATTATTAAATATATTGGGGGTTTTATCTAAATCTGGGGGCTTTTATAAAAAAAAAGAAGAAACGCTATGCCATATAAAAAAATACATATTTGTTTGATGACACATGGAATACCTTAATAATTTTTTGTTAAATTCAGCTTCTTTTGGTTGATCATATCCAGCAAGTGTGTGCTAGCTCCTTAATGACACTTGTAGCTGAGTGAAACAGCACTTCAGAGAAGATCATTAAGTGCAGCATATAATAAATTTGGTCAATGTATTTAATATGCAAAAAGAGCATTTGTCTGGATTTTTCAGAAAACTGGATCCTTTCTGTCTCTGTTATATCAGGGTTAAGGAATCAGCAAAATTACCAATTTCTCATTTTAAAGTAATGTATATGCCTCCTTACACTTTCAACATAATCCTCATTATATGCAATCTATGTGTTGCTACGTGAAGGCCAAATTGCTGACTGGTTGGTCCTCCTGACATTCTGCTTCCTTGCATCTTTGTTTCATTGTATTTCCATTTCCAGTCTAAAATATGTAGGGCGTTTATGTATATATTTTTTAAATTCCTGACATAAAAAAAGCCTTCTTAAAGGGCTGAGTTTCTGCAGTTGTTATCAGATGGAATTTGTGGACAAGTTTTACATTACTTTACTAGGTCTGGACCTTGGAAGTCCAGAATAACTGAAAATTGGACACTCATAGTTACCCCTTATCATATACTTAGTAATGCCGAAGAAATCATTTATTTGGTTACAAGGTAAAACCACTGGTAAGGGATACCACTGCTATCTGAGCTGCCCTGCAGTCAGAGGAGGATTGCACTAGGCTGTTACAGATGCACATGTGATGACAGCTTCAGGAATCTGACCAGGGATTCTTGGTCACAGGGATTCTTGGTGAGGTGGGACCGTAGCCCAAAGGTGAGATTGGCTTCTACTGCCAAATATCAGGAAGAGATGCTGGACAATGGTCTTGCTTAGTTGGTTCACATGTAGTGATGTCTCCCACTAAAGCTCAGCACTTTTCATGCACCTGATGATAAAGCACCATCCAAGAGTTCTCGCTTCCCAATATGGCCAGGAGTGGGGTTTTCAAGCTAATTGCAATTACATGAATCCACATTGGAGACATGTTCAATTTTGTACATATTAATAATACAGAGTGACCATAAAGAACAACCTTATGGATGAGCATGACAAAAAATAGTTTCAAAACTGATAAAGTCACAAGCGCTTTCCTTTCCTTTTTCAGATATTTCTGAATATTTGCCAAAAACTTTATGCTACCTTATAAATACTCAGTTGATGTGTGTACATATATATAGAAAAGAAAAGATGAAACTGCTGTGTTTCATGGTTTATGCAACTGAACATGGATAAATTGGAAAAATTCCCCTATATCCTAGAAAATTAAGGATAATTTTTTTAATTATGTTTGTTTCTTTTTCAGTTATTCCACATCAGAATAACTCAGATTATCAGTTTATAAATAATGTTTCCTCCAGTTCCTTTTTCTCACAAATTTCAGCTTAAGCTTTCCAAACCCAAACGGGTTTTATTTTGTCTTTTACATCACTTCAGTTGTTGTCCTCCACATTTACCAACAGCTTTGTACATAATGATTTAAAGCAGCTACAGTTAAAGCTTGTCCCATACCTACATATTGGTGATTGGTCTATTGGTCAGAACAACAGGAAATCAGAGGACAGGGGGTGGAGCTGATTTTAAATGAGCACTTGGTTCAAATAAATATTAATTGCAGATATAATGTTTTTTAAAGTGTACTCATATAAATCAAGTTATTTACTTTAGTAAAAGAAGTCTGAATATGATTTTCTGAGTAAAGATGCACCCCGTTCACAGACCAAACTAGAACCACATGACCAGACCAAAGATCCAATTCGTGCTGTATACCTCCAACTGATGTTAAAACCAGACGCATCTTGAGAAGCTAAGACCCCATCATGGCACTTACATTTGATGTTATTTGAACTGCAGAAATGCACTCTCTTCTAAAATTGAGGAAGGGACTAAATACTAAACAATTTAAAATAAGACAGCTTTGCATGTCTCTTCTGCTCCACTCATGAACCTCCTGTCAGGCTTCCTGGTACTGTTTAAAGGAAGCAATGTCTGTATATTTAGGAACACTATTTAAGAAAGCATAAGAAACAGGCTAATAAAAATAGAAACAAAGCAAACAAAAAATGAGAAACAAGATTTGTATATAAGAACGTGTGGCCCATGATCCTACATACGGATGTATCACTGTCCTTCCTTCCCTTCTTTTTGTTTATTATTCTCTTTTTTTAAACTGAAGCTCTAAAATTTTACCCACACTGATGTCATGGGAAAATTACCATTTTTTTTGTTTGTGTAGACCAACAGGAAATACATTTGCTACACTAATAAGCAGTTGTATTAGTTTCTGTTATCTGAAAAGCTGACCATCAGGATTAGAAAAGACAGGTGCCATGTGTATGGTAGGTTAAAAATAACACATGCTATGTGATTGAGTGGGCAAATCGTAATCTTGCTTTCTTTGACTGATAAAGACATCATGTAACTGCAGGAAGTGAAGGGACAAGAGCCTTCCTCTGAAAACTGCAGTTCAGCCCCTGTTTGCTAATCTCCCTGGTCAAAGTATCAGTGTCTCATGACTTCTGATGACTGTCTCCCCATTTCTCCCATCTCGCCTCTCTTCCCTCTTTCTCACTGTCTGACTGTCATGGAAGGGAGAGTAACAAAAGAAACATTCTTAAAAATATAATGATACTATTCGATTTCTCGACAGGAATGAAAACATGTTTCTTAAAAACCTAGTAAAACCCAGACTTTTTATTTGAAGGGTGAATGCTGGCTTATAATATGCAGTTGTATGCAATTCTTAAAATGCAGCTGGCTGAACAGAAAGTTTTTTTAGATTCTGTTGTACCACCAGGTGTATTTAGGGCTTATATACATTTGAACATTAACACTCTGCAAACATGTTGAAGCATAAAGGGCGGGAAGTAAAAAGGGAGCCCTTATAGAAGACCTAGCTAACAGAGCTAGATTCACTCTTCATGAATTCAAATACTTTCAAGCTGTGTCTTGCAGAACACTAAACTCTTCACAACAAATAGTGAAGGCAAAAGATTTTTGTCTCCAAAAGTAAGAATTTATTGCATCACTGGTAGATCCTTAATCATGGGAACTTAATGAAAATCAGAACCTTTAAGTTTCTCAAAAAAAAACAGTAAAAATGTCTGTTCCCCTAACCAGTCTCTCCAGAAAATAGTCACTGACAGCAACATGAAGCTTTTTATCTTTTTCTTTCTAATTACTTTGACACTGATGAATGTTGTTTTCCCAAATTTAAACATTTCAGAAAATTGCCCAACATTTTTCTGCCATTTAGAAATAAATTACAAATTTGAAAAATAGGAGTGCTGACTTTGCAGACAGAAGAACTATGGGTGGTTGCAAAAGTGTATATTTCAAAATCATGTTCAAAAAACCCATAAACATGTTAATTGCCAGCCAGTGAGTGAGTTCATTATCACTGATTTCATGAAATGTTTCCAAATGTAAAAAATCTACGCAGGTCAGAAAAGGATGGGTTCATCCAGTTTGTATTTGTCTTTCATCCAGAAATGAAGGAGAGTTCATTTCAGTAAAATCAACTTTTTTTTCTGAACAAAACAAGAGTCATAGATCCTCCACCCCAAATTTCCCCTGATGAATTGAATATGCATCTTTCCCAAGTCTGTGATAAAAAAACCCCAGAGATAAATCCTCAAGACAAATATACAAGATGAAGATAAGTGCAGAAAAAAATATTTACTCTGTTTTCATTCTCACCAAATTGACATTTGTCACTCCTGTTGCCTTTGGTGACAATAAGGTGTGGGGAGGGGTGAAGTAGTTGCATTCAGTCTCTTCCTGTTGCAGTTATGTAAACTCAGTTTTGGCAGTAGAAGATGAGTAAGGGGAGAAGTGTTTTCTGTCTCAGTCTGTTTTTCCACATCTAGCTGCTAGTAAACCAGTATTCCACTACTGTTCTCTACAGCTGAAAATACCCTAGGTGAATGATGAAAACCTTCAACCTTCAAACCTAGATGAATCAGATGAACTATCAGCAGTTAGGCAATGATTTTGTCTTAATGAGCTATGTATTCAGAAGAGCAACAGGTTTTAGGGGTGCCACAGAGGCCTTCCAATGATCCAAACTGCCTTATTAACTAAGTCACAAAGCACCTTAAAGAACTCCAGATGGGAGTTCCACCAAACACAGATAAAGAGGTTGGTCTGCCTCCACAGGGCCTGCAAAATGAGTGGAAATTCCAAAAGAAAACAATGTGCAGAAATAACATCACAAGTTTCTGCAAACTATATGGTGACAAGATAGAGCTGATTCCTGGACAGGAAGGCAAAACTTGCTGAAGGAATGAAAGTTGTGGGAATAATTTTTCATCCAGAACACACTGTAAATTTTTAATATGTACACTGAGCTGGTAGAGTACCATTTTCAATTCCTCAACTGGTGCTGGTTTGTTTGGGACAGAGTTAATTCTCTTTACAGTAGCTAGTATGAGGCTATGTTTTGGATTTGTGCTGAGAACTTCTTTAGTTTCTCATACAGCACCTGTGTTCCCAGCTCCTTCTCTACAAGTAGCTGGGAGGGGATACAGCCAGGTCAGCTCAGTATGTTAGTTGTGGGGAGGTGACTGAGGGATTTGGCTCT